AAGGGAAACTGGATTAAAGCAAAGCACATCCCCGGCCACAGAAGCCAAGGTGTGCAGGTAACGACAAAGAGCCACAACCAGACACAACACACGATGCAACCCCGGCCTGACCAACCAAGCATCAAAGACCCAAGGACCCCTCCGGAATGCAGCCATCTCATTCTTCGCCAAAAAAGAAGGGGAAGGCTGCAACCGAGTAAACCGACTACCAGAACCGAACAAGCAGAAACCCCTGCGCCAGAAAAGAGCATGAAGCTCACCAACCCGACCTCGAGAGGCCAATGACAACAGAACGAGCCTCGGAAAAACAATCAGAACTGAATGGACCACCACAAACTGCAGGAGAAGAGAGATAGGAGAGCACCCTATCCAAAGACCAGGACGACTCAGGTGGCACATAAGCAGGCCGGAGGTGAAACAAAGCACGAGAAAGCTTACTGAATGAGGCAGAAGTGGCATACACCCCAAATGCAAGCTGGAGTGGCCCCACCAGCGCCACACTATATGAGGCGACAGTACTCACCTAATTGTACTCACCTAATTGTGCTTGCGGGGGTTGAGCTTTGACTCTTTGGTCCCGCCTCTCAACTGTCAATCAACTGGTGTACAGATTCCTGAGCCTACTGGGCTCTATCATATCTACATTTGAAACTGTGTATGGAGTCAGCCTCCACCACATCACTTCCTAGTACATTCCATTTATTAACTACTCTGACACTGAAAAAAAATCTTTCTAACGTCTCTAGCTGTGGCTCATCTGGGTACTAAGTTTCCACCTGTGTCCCCTTAATACAGTACAGTCCCCTTAATAATACAGTATTTGGCATCAAATGACAGTTCTGAAATGCCAAGAATGAAAGGAATAGACAATACTATTAGAAATAGAAGACAACCTACTAAGTGAGAAAATAGCAGAAAGAATGCCAAAAAACTTCATACTGTCGCCAAGACGAAGCTCTCAGGTGGAACCTTACCTTGAAGTTACCTTGAGGTGCTTCCGGGGCTTAGTGTCCCCGCGGCCCGGTCGTCGACCAGGGCTCCTGGTTGCTGGACTGATCAACCAGGCTGTTAGACGCGGCTGCTCGCAGCCTGACGTATGAGTCACAGCCTGGTTGATCAGGTATCCTTTGGAGGTGCTTATCCAGTTCTCTCTTGAACACTGTGAGGGGTCGGCCAGTTATGCCCCTTATGTGTAGTGGAAGCGTGTTGAACAGTCTCGGGCCTCTGATGTTGATAGAGTTCTCTCTCAGAGTACCTGTTGCACCTCTGCTTTTCAACGGGGGTATTCTGCACATCCTGCCATGTCTTCTGGTCTTATGTGATGTTATTTCTGTGTGCAGGTTTGGGACCAGCCCCTCAATTATTTTCCACGTGTAAATTATTATTTACACGTGGAAAATATCTATATCTCTATTTTTATATCTCTCCCGCCTGCGCTCAAGGGAGTACAGATTTAGGCTCTTTAGTCGGTCCCAGTAATTTAGATGTTTTACTGAGTGGATTCTAGCAGTAAAGGATCTCTGCACGCTCTCCAGGTCAGCAATTTCTCCAGCTTTGAAAGGGGCTGTCATTGTGCAGCAGTACTCCACTCTAGAGAGCACAAGCGTTTTGAAAAGTATCATCATCGGTATAGCATCTCTAGTGTGAAAAGTTCTTGTTATCCAACCTGTCATTTTTTTTGCAGTTGTGACGGCTACTTTATCGTGTTCTTTAAAGGTAAGGTCTTCCGACATGAGTACACCCAGATCATTTACATTGCCTTTTCGTTCTATGTTATGATTTGCCTGAGTTTTGTACGTGGTTTCTGTTTGTATATTTTCAATTTTTCCGTAGCGCATGAGCTGGAACTTATCCTCGTTAAGTACCATATTATTTTCTGTAGCCCATAGAAAGACCTGATCTACATCTGATTGGAGGTTTGCCGTGTCCTCTATGTTGCCAACTCTCATGAAAATCCTAGTGTCATCTGCAAAGGATGATACAGTGCTATAGATTGTGTTCTGGTCTATGTCCGATATGAGGATGAGAAAAAGTACTGGAGCAAGCACAGTACCCTGGGGGACTGAGCTCTTCACGGTTGATGGGCTGGATTTTATTTTGTTGACTATTACACATTGGGTTCTGTTAGTCAGGAAATTGTAGATCCATCTGCCTATTTTCCCGGTAATTCCTTTTGAACGCATTTTATGTGCAATAACACCATGGTCACATTTATCAAAAGCTTTTGCGAAATCTGTGTAAATTACATCAGCGTTTTGTTTGTCTTCCATAGCATCTAATGCCATATCATAGTGGTCCAGCAACTGCGACAGGCAAGAGCGCCCTGTTCTGAAACCATGTTGTCCGGGGTTATGGAGATGCTGTGATTCCATGTATTTTGTGATCTTACTTCTTAGCACTCTCTCAAAAATTTTTATGATGTGCGATGTTAGTGCTATCGGTCTGTAATTTTTTGCCTCTGCCTTATTTCCTCCTTTATGGATTGGTGCTATCTCTGCTGTTTTTAGTATGTCAGGGATAACGCCAGTATCTAGGCTTTGTCTCCACAGAATGTGAAGGGCCTGCGATAGTGGTTTTTTACAGTTCTTGATGAATATGGAGTTCCAAGAATCCGGGCCTGGTGCAGAGTGCATAGGCATACTGTTTATGGCTTCTTCAAAATCTAGTGGGGATAGGGCGACGTCTGATATATGATTTGATGTTGGTATCATATCCATGAAAAATTCATTTGGGTTATCAATCTTTAGTGCATTTAATGGCTCGCTGAAAACAGAGTCGTACTGCTTCCTCAGTAACTCGCTCATTTCTTTGTTGTCATCGGTGAAAGTTCCATCTCCCTTTCGCAGGGGCCCGATACTAGATGTGATTTTTGATCTTGATTTTGCATAGGAGAAAAAATATTTCGGATTTCTCTCTATTTCACTGATGGCCTTTTGCTCTCTTTGCCTCTCCTGGGTTTTGTATGATTCTTGTAGCTTGAGTTCAATTGTTTCTATTTCTTTACCTAACCTTCTTCGCCGTTCTTGAGATAGGGTGCGACTCTCAAGTTGTTCCGCGATTCGTTTTCTTCGCCTATATAGGGAACGACGTTCCCGTTCCAATCTGCATCTCTTTCTCTTTTTTCTTAGGGGTATGCGGTTTGAACATATTTCTAGTGCTACTGAGCTTATTTTTTCCAGGCACTGGTTCAGGTTTGCATTTTCTAGCTGTTCTTCCCAGTTTATTTCAGTGAAGTCCTGGTTTATTTGCTCCCAGTTTATCCGTTTATTATTGAAGTTGAATTTGTTGAAATCTCCTCCACTGGGAATCTGGACTGGTTTTGAAGGTCCATTCCCCATGGTTGTTAGAACTTCAATTAAGTTGTAATCTGAGTAACAGGTATTTTTAATCATTATGTTCCTGATCAATTCATCATTATTAGTGAAAATGAGGTCCAGCGTGTTCTCCTTCCTAGTTGGTTTTACTATTTGCTGGTTTAAGGAAAACCTATCGCACATCCGTAGCAGGTCATTTGCATGTGCCTGTTCATTTAGGCTACTTCCTGGTATTCTTTCTGATATTACTGTATTAGCCAGGTGCTTCCATTTCAGGTGCCGTAGGTTGAAGTCCCCAAGCAGGATGATGTTCGGAGCTGGATTTGTGAGGTTTTCCAAGCAGTGCTCGATTTTCATTAGTTGGTCTTTAAACTGCTGAGGGTTTGCCTCCGGTGACTTATATACAAGGACAATATCTACATTTAGGATCTCTATTTTGACTATCAGCACTTCCACCATATCATTTGAGGTGTTTAGCAGCTCAGTACAGATGAGTGTGTCTTTGATGTAACACCATTAACAAAGACACCTTATCACCATATAGATAGTGATAAACCCGCATTAAAAAGACCAGACGCGAAGAGTGGAGAAGACCGAATCAGTCTTGTACCGGACTGGTTCAATCTGCTAGAAGAGGCGGAGCCGCAGAAAACACCCCGGGTTTGTATACAAGCAAGCAGTGCCTGAAACCAAGGCTGGGCCGGCCACCAAGGAGCCACTAGGACGACTCTCCCGTGGTAGAACTCTAACAGAGCTAGAACCCGAAGCAACAGCTGGACCGGGGGAAAGAGGTACAGGGAACCCCAACTCGACCATTCCTGCCGAAAGGCATCCACCATAATCGCTTCGCGGTCGGGGCACCAGATATATCGGAAGAAGCCGAGACCATGCCGACGTGAAGAGATCCACCTCCAGAAGCCCATACGTCCGGCAGGGCCAACTGGAGTCAGTGTCGACCGGCCATTCCGTGGAAAAGGTAATGAACTGAGACAGGCTACCAAAAATATGCCTAAGCCATACAACTTCCCCGTTGTAATCACTGCCATGTTGACCAAACCACACACAAAAAATGGCATGCTGTTGAACGCAATCTCTGCCATCATCTTATTTTATGGTTGTTACGTTGAACGCAAATTTTACTGCAATGTACCTAGACATAATCCTCAAATTATGCTATAATGTATTTGTCGATAATCCTCAAATTTTACTAAAATGCACCTACTAATTTTCTTACAATGTACCTATTAACTTTTTTCAATTATGCTACAAATTACCTACTTAAAATTATGTGTTAGATTAAGGACCTGGCCGAAACGCTATGAGTGTTAGTGCCTTAATAAGAATGAAAAAACATCAATGCTATGCACTCTGATAAACCAAATGTATCGTCTTGTAAATAAATAAATAAATAAATAAATAAATAAATAAATAAATAAACAAATAAATAAATCTTCTGGTGTGTGATTTTGTCTTCATGGCTGATGGATACGTGGTCATATTATCTATTGCAGTTTAGAAGGCTTTTGGCATTAATGGAAGTAATCACATTACAATAAATAATTGTATCATAAATATATAATATGGAAAAAACTCTAAATGAAAGGGAAGATATGCTGCCAATAATAACAATAATGAACAAAGCAGAAAGACAGTCGAGTGTGTGAGGTATAACTGTGACATGCATACTCTTCAAAAAGTTGACTTTGAAGCTTGGCAGCATCCAGGTAACTTTTGGCTGTGCTATTTGGGTTCATTATTAACCTCAGGAAGTGACTTGGATCACGCTCCACCTGAAAGCGAGTTGCAACCTATTATTTACAAAATACATACATGGAAAACAAAAACAGGCATTTTAGAATCAAATTATTTTTGGCCCAGCAGCATATACCGGCATGTATCCTATAACCTATATATTGCTCATGTGCAGTCCCCAGATGTGTATACTGTATATCTTTAAAAACAAGCATTTAATTTTTAATTCTTTTGTGCTGGGAACAGACAGCCATTGTATATATATATATATATATATATATATATATATATATATATATATATATATATATATATATATATATATATATATATATATATATATATATATATATATATATATGCAATAATGATCACAAAAATACTGATCCAAGTATGCAGAATAACCACATGTGAAAAATAGAAAATGCTATTTTCTATTTCTATTTTTCTATTATTTTCTAAATGCTACAGCATTTTCTATTTTTCACATGTGGTTATCCTGCATATATATATATATATATATATATATATATATATATATATATATATATATATATATATATATATATATATATATATATATATATATATATATATATATATATATATATATATATATATATATATATACATATATATATAACTGAAAACTCACACCCCAGAAGTGACTCGAACCCATACTGCCAGCAACTGATGTACAGGATCCCTTAACCACTCGACCATCACGACCGGACAAAAGAGGATGGTAGCCGAGGCTAATTCCCCATCCTCCCGCCAGCACTCTGATGGTAATCTTGGGCATGCTGTTTTATCAAATCACCTCATTCTTTGGGGCACATGTGAGGAACACAAATGCGAACAAGCCTGAACGGTCTCCAGGCATATATGCAACTGAAAACTCACACCCCAGAAGTGACTCGAACCCATACTGCCAGAAGCACTGCAACTTCCTCACATGTGCCCCAAAGAATGAGGTTATTTGATAAAACACCATGCCCAAGATTACCATCAGAGTTCCGGCAGCTCGCATAGCACCGGCATAGCCTCGGCTACCATCAGTTTTTGTTTGGTCGTGATGGTCAAGTGGATTAAGGCGTCTTGTACATACCAATTGCGTTGCTCCTGGCAGTATGGGTTCGAGTCACTTGTGGGGTTTGAGTTTTCAGCTGCATATAGTCCTGGGGACCTTTCAGGTTTGTTCGCATTTGTGTTCCTCACGTGTGCCCCAAAGAATGAGGTGATTTAATAAAATGCTATGCTATATACTTCGATAGCAATTTGTATAATGATAAGTGGACTGTATTTCTGCAATAATCTCTTAATCTCACAAATCGATCCTCTACACATTAGGGGGGGTTTATTAGTTTATATATATATGCAGCCAATCAAACTACAGTAACTACATACATTGAAAAGGTTCCTTATCTTATAGTACAGCAGGTTAGTCCACCAGGTATAACTAGGGTGTAGACACCAAATTATCCTCTTTGAGGTAGCTTCCATATCACCCAGTAACTGGTGCACAAATCTTCCTTCCTCGTCTTGACCTGTCAAAAGTGCGCTAGCTGTGAAGCCAGAATCCTATATATGACAAGTATTTCAGAGAAACTGTACATGGAACATTGAAGACCTGGCTTAATTACCTTTAGTTTGAGGCTTCCACGTGATCTAACTGGGTCACCCTATATCCTGACATTAATGGCCATAAATGAATGATAAACGGGTTTCGGATAGACTTAACTTGAATTGTAGACATGATTAAGATTACCATCAGAGTGCCAGCGGGCTGATGGGCTAAATAGCCTCGGCTACCATCAGTTTTTGTCCGGTCGTGATGGTCAAGTGGATCAAGGCGTCCTGTACATACCAGTTGCATTACTCCTGGCAGAATGGGTTCGAGTCACTTCTGGGATGTGAGTTTTCAGTTGCATATAGTCCTGGGGACCATTCAGGCGTGTTCGCATTTGTGTTCCTCACGTGTGCCCCAAAGAATGAGGTGAATGGATAAAATTCTATGCCCAAGCTTACCATCAGAGTCCCGGCGAGCTGATGGGCTAAATAGCCTTGGCTACCATCAGTTTTTGTCTGGTCGTGATGGTCAAGTGGATTAAGGCGTCCTGTACATACCAGTTGCGTTGCTCCTGGCAGTATGGGTTCGAGTCACTTCTGGGGTGTGAGTTTTCAGTTATATATATATATATATATATATATATATATATATATATATATATATATATATATATATATATATATATATATATATATATATATATATATATATATGGCACAACTCTCCTAAACACGAGAGTCAAGTATACAACTTTAGAACACTTTCCCACCAGGAGACTCGAACCCTAGCCAGCACAGAAGCCTTCCAGCAACTGGCATAACAGGTACGCCTTAACCCTCTCCACCACCTGCTCAGACCCTTAAAAGAGATGGTAATTTCGGAGTATTTAAATACCCCAAAGATCAACACCTCCCAAGAGCACCAGAGCAAGTGAGGGGTCATTTATACGTTAATTTCATCAAGTCCCTGTTAATATGGGAAGACACAGTGTCTCTGCTTAAGGCACAACTCTCCTAAACACGAGAGTCAAGTATACAACTTTAGAACACTTTCCCACCAGGAGACTCGAACCCTAGCCAGCACAGAAGCCTTCCAGCAACTGGCATAACAGGTACGCCTTAACCCTCTCCACCACCTGCTCAGACCCTTAAAAGAGATGGTAATTTCGGAGTATTTAAATACCCCAAAGATCAACACCTCCCAAGAGCACCAGAGCAAGTGAGGGTCATTTTACGTATAAATGACCCCTCACTTGCTCTGGTGCTTTTGGGAGGTGTTGATCTTTGGGGTATTTAAATACTCCGAAATTACCATCTCTTTTAAGGGTCTGAGCAGGTGGTGGAGAGGGTTAAGGCGTACCTGTTATGCCAGTTGCTGGAAGGCTTCTGTGCTGGCTAGGGTTCGAGTCTCCTGGTGGGAAAGTGTTCTAAAGTTGTATATATATATATATATATATATATATATATATATATATATATATATATATATATATATATATATATATATATTTATATATATATATATATATATATATATATATATATATATTATATATATATATATATATATATATATATATATATATATATATATATATATATGTGTGTGTGTGTGTGTGTGTGTGTGTGTGTGTGTGTGTGTGTGTGTGTGTGTGTGTGTGTGTGTGTGTGTGTGTGTGTATAGCCCTTGGAACACACCAGAAAATAACCAATTTGGTATCACTCCACAATAATCAATTGCCAGGAATCCCTGACGTTACACACTGACACTAACCTGAGTGCTCAGTACTGGAATTTCACACCTGCAAGGTTATATCACATGGAACGAAGTCAACAACAATGATTGAATTATCAAAATTCTACCAGAATGGAATATAAATATTCTAATGTGAACTTGTTCCCGTGTGTACCACTCACACACACACAACTTATATGTCTTTCTACACCAGACCAAGTCCCACTGGACTGACAAGATGTCAACAAGGGTGATACTCTCACTCGTCCTCACTCCACTATCACCTCTACAGGTGCTCTTAGTGACAATGCGACAGAACACCTGACTTTGAATTCAGGTTTAGAGACTAATAAATCACCAGAAATACACACATAAGTATTTACCCATTTATACAGCCGGCCTCACACACTCACACAATTACCATACATCAGGCACCCAGCTGGCAGGTGGCTGCTCACTGAAGTGGAGATGGCTGGAGCGGTATCTCACGTGGTATTGATCATATAAAGATGACTTGGCGCGTCTTTCAAACCCTCCCTCAACATATGACCCGGTTCGCACCCTCGACCCACTGGTGAAGTGGATGTTCATACTCAGATGACTCACACAATGTATAGCGTCTTACACAAACATGGGAAATCTGCCTTAAAACACTAACGCGAATTTCCCCGTTCCCATCGACTGCTACAGAGCACTACCAGGAATTAGAACTTCTATAATCACTGGAATGGGGGACCCACGAGTCTGTTACTGCGCATATGCAAATTACCTACAATCCAAGATTTCTACCCAAAGCACTCCCTATCTTTCTCCCCCTCGAACTACAAAGGCGGCGGGATTCTGACGCTCGTCGTCGACGTAGATGAGGCAGGAGGTGGAGTAGCAGAGTAGGCAGTCACCACGACGTCGTCTTGCCCAATTTGGCCGAACGGGCAAGAGGTAGACATCAGGCTATGGTGGTGACTGTAGCAGAATGATGCCTTGGGTGAGAAACACACCAGCGATCCTGCGTCTCCTCGAAAGAACCAATCAGAGGTAGGCACACAGCGGCCAACCACCCCACAAAACCAATCAGAGATGGCGTGTAGCATGGCCCAGGGAAAACTTCAAGATGGCAGACTCCCCAGATGTTTGCTTAAGATGTCAGCTGTTGCCATGACGACGAGTCAAGTGGCTGGCATTTAGCCCATGCTCGCACTAGCATGCAGCCTGGCTGTTCCTGCGGAAATCTTGAGTCCCTACAAGCTTACAATGAAATGATGCTATTGCTATAACTTTGTCCACAGACGTGCTACCCCGACCAGGGTTACATTTCTGGAATGCTGATGACTGGGGCTCTCACACGAGCCCAAACACAAGATGTTTCGGGTACTGGTTACCAAACTTAGGTCCACGCACTTAGCAAGTGTACTGGCCTCCACAGGCAGAAGAGCACCATTGTAAGTGAGCTGGTGAACCATCCCCCTCACATCAACCTCCCACCAAAAAGATAAAATTTCCCGGAGGAAAATTTCATCTAAATCACCAGCCACTTACACTTTTGCTCTTAAGTGCTTGTGCTGGAGTTGAATGGTGGGGTTCCTCGTTTTCTGTTGACGTCGGTGGCTCACGGGATAAGGTGTGATGTCACTGGCTCATCCAGGTATGGAGGATAGAGGGTATGGAGGACTGCTCTGTGCTAGGTCCCGACTCGGGGGATCCTGGGGCTGGGGAGGAGTCGACCTGGAGGCCATG